TTTGGAGGCGAGTAATTTCCCTCATTTTGATCACTCTTCTGGGCACGATATGTGGAATAGGCTAATCAAGGATCTGTCGCCTGTTGGGCCCACAGAAATAGAATACGTTTAGGGATTGAGCTGTACCTGGCTTGCACTGTGGATGATCGTGACACTTGGCTGTCTACTATGCGAACGATAGCACTTGAAGGCAGGTGGGATCAAATTGTTGAGTAAAGTGATCGATGTAAGTGTAGGTTTTACTGTCAAAACTGGATTTCCCCGAGTAGGTGGCTCTAGGGCGTACGTCGTTATCCCGACTCCCCCCCTCTCCTCACGAGCACTATCCGTAATCTAAATTTTGAATGTGGTTTTGTCAGTGGGTGTGAAGTAGAATCATCTATCGTGGTATCGTGAACTCGCTAAAATAAGGCGAGCACACAGAGTGTTCGTAACGCTATATTTCTCAATGTTTCGCAAACCATGAACATCCAAAAGTTTACTAGTGAAATCATTCGCTTTTAGATGTTTCGTTATCTCGTCTGCTCAATTCATGACATCATCGGCTTACCCAGAGGGTCATCCGATGCGTGTAAAACACGGCAACGATAAGGTGAGAGTGAATGATGGGTTCAAATGACGTCATGTTCTGCATTTCCGTTTAAATGTAGATTTACGCCAAAGGTTCTGATTCGAGGCGGTTCTTGTGCAGTTGATCCTCTAGGAACGATTCTTGTTGAGCCCGACTTCACCAAAGAACTCATCCAGTAAGTGTAGTTTGAAAACATAGACTGAAAAAGCTACCAAAGTGAAAGCTGATGAAATTTTCAGCTATGTGAACGCAGATCTTTCTCGAATTGCTTGCGGTAAGATGGATTTGGATACTGTGGGCCATTACAGCCGCCCGGAGGTGTTCCAGCTAATCGTCAATGAAAAGCCATGCGATGCTGTGGTGCGACAGTAAGCTACAAGTGAGTACTCTACAATTCCTCAATTTCTTTGTGTGCCTTCAGAGATGAGCGATTTATTGATTGATTACTTTCCACTCTTTTACATCCGGCACGCTCTCGTACTGAGTAGTAATCCTTTTGGCGGAACTTTATTTGCAGATTATACCGAAATTATTCAACACCAAGCTTAACAGATACAAATATTGATTGCCAAAAATACAAATATCGATCGTGTCTATTCTGTACAATGCTATCGATTTTGCGCGAATCGATAAACCTTGAAGACCATGGTTGTGAATGGGTGCAGATAAGTGGCTTGTAGGACTAGTGTTGTTGGCCAAGCTGGCTCGATGGGAGGGCATGACATGTGACTTTTTCAAAGTCTCCAAACCAGTTACTATGACGGCGAGAATTCTTTATAAGTAGTATTGTAAAATCAAGCATTTTTCCTAGATGGGGCAGTAGGTGTGCACAACGACTTTGTCGGATGATGGTCAGAGAACACAGAGTTCCGCTAAAGATATCGAGAAGCGCGGCGAAATAGCTTTTGATTTGAGGAGGGAGAGAGGTCAAAGAAGAGAAGCTGCTCAGAAGTAATAACGTGACCATGAGGCGGTTGATGGTGTGTAGTTGTGTGGACGATAACTGTTGAAGTGACGCAGACTACTGTTACCGTAGTAGGACCAATAGGATGGAGCGGAACTGAAATACAGGATTTAGACAACACAATGAAGCTGAAAAGAAAAAAATCAATAAATAAATAGTTCAGTGAAAAGGATGGAAATGAAAATGATTGCTGAATACCAATATTTTATTGTTATTATTATATATTAATTTTTATTTTTTATATATTTTTACATATGATTATTGATATATGCATTATTTTTATTCATTGTTTTGATTTTTGAATACTATTGCAGAAGCAAGTAATATAATATGAGTAGGGTATGACAAAGCAAAAGTAGTTGGTATAAATATGGTGAAATAAATGTAAGAGAAATAAGCATTTTTTAATAAAATCAGTGTGGCAAGAATGTGGCCTTTAATTAAGTTGTGGTAGAACTAGTCGATTCTTGGAAAGTAAGCAAGATCCAAATTTACATGGTTGTTACTTGTAGACTCATTGAACCTTGATATTTGGCTTTATGAATATGCCTTGTATTGTTCTCTCTCGTTTTTGATTCCCCTATTTCTCACTGTATTGGTTTATTTCACGAATTACATGCACTTACACCTTGTTTCCCCTTCATGAATGAGTCGTAAATGCAGACATAGCAATACAAATGCAAAAAGCACGTTGACTTACGTGCCACTGTTTCTGCAAATACAGTAAACACACAGCAAAGCTGCGAGAGAAGTCGATATTTTTCATACTTTTGACGCTATTGATTAAGTCGATGCCGTATATTATGTATTGCAAGTCTGCATTTACTACTCACCTGGGTAGTTGAAACAAAGTACTTACCGTCCCCGATCACCGAGACGGCTCTAATAAACTTCGTTTCCATTTATACTTTGAAAAAAGACGACCACGGTTTAGTTCGAGTCGTTTGGCAACCGGATTATGTTTGTTTCTCTCATGAAACTTATTTAGTCGGTTGCTTTGTTATCATTGGTATTATTTAGAGTACGATGGAATGTGAGTTGCCTGCTCGACCCTCAATCGTCAGCCTACCAGACAAACTGCCGAGCCTCACCGTTTTGGGATTACTTGCATGCTGCATGATGATTGCATGATGTTTCACATTGTCACCTTCGTTTCAATTCATCGATTGTCACTAATGTTTAACACAACGAACAAAGTTTGACTATGGAGTTTGTAATTAATTTGTACAGTCGATATCCGAAAGTTGGGGTAGGCGTGTCACCGGAAGTGACGTGCACTTGATAGAAGTTGCGTGGATAAGCTGTTGCCAGCATGCTTTGCTGATATCCAGCGATGTATGTTGGAAGCAGCTTATCCACATAGCTTCTATCAAGTGCACGTCACTTCCGGTGACACGTCTACCCCTCGTACGTTCATACTCTGTTTTACGTAGAGAAGCATGTCGTAATTGCAGACGTCGCAGCGCGCGTAGCATCAGATGGCGTCAGGAGCATCATAACAAATAAATGGAGCACAAGTGGGATCGCTTTTATAGGCCGTCGCTACGAATGCTGACTCTGCAACTACGACACGTTCTCAACTGGGATCAATGTACAAGCTGTGAGCTGGACTAAAATACTGACAACAGAAGGCTCAATGTTCCTTTTTCATGTGAGATGTGGTAAATATGAAAACAAGTTATAATTGTATGCCGTAATTATTATATCACGATTAATTTAACACGTTGACGACATCGCGCGTTTTGGCATTTTTGGCCGCGTGGGACCAGAGCGGTTCTGCGAGCGCCGCCGCCTCACAACAAATCTGTGGATTTTGAGCTTTAAATACGCAATACTTCGATGCGACAAAATGTTTTCACTGATATTCGGTGTGTCAAACTTATTGGAAGGTACACATGTGAAAGTGCGGTCGAATGATGTGTTACAGCATTGAAAAGGCAAGTTTCACTTACTTTTGCTTTAGTGATTTCAAAATTATTTTGGACGTGGTTGTTTCGGTAAAAACACATATCTTGCCACACGAGTAGCTTTGTACTCACTTCTAATATTCTTTTTTATCTACATGTTCGTGTTAATGAAGAGAAAATGAGGAATGAACTGAACGGATATTTTCGTCCGGTCCGAAAAACCTCTGCCAAACTAAAGAATATTTGGTCATTCTATAAGCCGCGTGGTTCTTGGTTATGTTGTGGTATGGCCTAAAAAATGAACACAAAAAACCTGGGAAGAAATGGCGCGTTCAAGAAAAAACTGAATGTAAAGGGTGTGGCAACTATAGTTGCCACAATGTCCATTGCGGCGTGCAAAACGCGGCAAACCTAGTTGCCGCGCTGTCGTCAAGGTGTTAAGTTGAATATTGTGAAGGATTGAAAATCAACAAAAAATGCAATAAAAAGATTACTTATTCTGCTTGTACAACTCGAGTTTATTCATTTAATCTGAATGTTCTTGAAAAAACAAGAAGTAAAAAAGAACTCATTTGGTAGCCAAATTATCAACTATAAGCACTTACGCAGTTCCTAGGTATGTCCGTGTGTACATGTAATTTTTAGGCTTCTCGGTTGACTGGCAATATCGTAGTTCGTTTCACTAGCTAAATAGGCATAGCCGGAGTACCTGAAAACCGACCATTTAGCAATAGATTTCCTTTTTCGTATGCTGTACTTACAAATTATTGTTGTGTTATTTAACAAAAAGTAGTGGAATCATGCTGTAGTAATGGGGCGAATGTAGTTCGTTTCACTACCGCTAAATAGGCATAGCCGGAGTACCTGAAAACCGACCAATTTATATTTCCATGACATATGATAATAGATTTCCTTTTCGTATGCTGTACTTACAAAATTTGTTGTGTTATTTAACAAAAAGTAGTGGAATCATGCTGTAGTAATGGGGCGAATATAGGCCTAAACATTTACCGGACACTCAGCTTGGAAGTCTGCCCGTGAGTTTTTCTGCCATAGGTTCAATGCTTGCGAAAATGGATCACCGTCCCTAGATGTCAATGCTGTGGGAACACGGCTCCGGCACAGTCACTTGAGGACCCGCACATACTGGGAGGACATTCGAGTGGCTTAGAGATTGGTTTGAGGTGGAACAGCCACAATTTTCCTCTGAGGACAATTTTCACCCTGACGTCGGTGTTCTCGAGTCTGCCCCTCTAGGGTGACGTGGCGAAAACCTCCCATGCCCATCTGATTTTCATCACAAGGATTTGCAAGAAGTCATCAAGCAACGTCGCGCTCACATACTCGTGCCACCTGGACGGCAGTTGATTCCGGTGACACTTTTCCACATTCTCCCATCCTTATACAGGCCATAGAACCACGCAAGGCCTGCGCCTTCCCCGGCTGCACGCTGGGCGAATGCTTCAGAGTAGTATCGTTGGTGTGACGTCTCCTGAACCTCCTGCTAAGCATTCGACTTCCTCAGTCTCCATCAGACCGAGTAGACTGCCATATGGCGTTTTCATTCGACATCGATAGGAAACTCGAAAGCGTCCATAAAAGGGGAATTGCTGCGGAGATTAAGAAGAAGGAGAACTTGTTACCATGATCATGTCAAAGAATGCATACTTACCCTCGTCTAGTGGTTATCGGACGACTTTCCTGGTGTGAGTTGAGGTGGTGTGTACAGCGAGGTCGTACCATACTGTCGAAAGAACGAATTGTACGAGTAGGGTCGTCGGTGGTCCTGTTCTCGTCCATAGACGTATCTGAAAGTGAAGCTCGATAATTTGATCTGGGTCGTAGTGCTGCTTAAAAAGCATCTCCTGAAGTGAAGTTACTGAGGGATTGCGCTGTGGTCAGAAACAGCACCATCCGCATGCCATCTCTGAGTCCACAGAATCGAATCACACTCAGTACGATCAAATCTTCCGAGATGATTTGATAACTTTGGTTATTTAAGGGTTGAAACCATGTCGATTATCAGATAATTACTTCAAAGGCAGTGATCACCATGGCAGGAAGGCGTGCGGTTTTTATGACGTCATTGAACGTCACTGGTGGAAAAGATTTGTTAAGAGGCGGTCACAACTACACTCCTTAGCACGCTACGATCAAGCTACCAATACGTTCAGTGACGTCATCAAAACCGCTCCAACTATCGTGATCACTGCCTTTAAGTTTCAAAACTATATACGCTGTTTAATGCCCCTTCAGTTCAGAAAGGGATTCGATAGGTGGCCTATGATGAAATTTTGGGTACTGATGGGTGCGACGTAACCACCTGAGAAGTACTATTTTTGTTCGCTTCCAATTTTTGGATCCCACTCATTGTCTATAGTTTTCCGTGCGCCACTCACTAACCCCGCCCACTTCGTACGAAACCATTCCCAAACCCCGCCCACTTTCCTGTGCGAGTTTTCAAGTGACTTACTTGTATATCGGGTAGCTCCATGTACGTA